CCGTTTGATAATACCATTGGTGTCAAACTTTTTACTAATCTCCCTATAACGGGTGCAAAAATATTTTATCGTTTGTGATAAACATCCAAAGTTGTCGTTAGTAAGTAAGTAAATGTCAATCTTTGTTGTTTTAACAATTTGGGACAGGTACGGCATGTAAATAACAAAATTTCTTAAGCTTTCTAGTGAATATTTCTGTTCTTTTCTTTAAACGACCATGACGTAATAAATTGGTTATAAATGTATAATTAATATTTTTTCTTTTATTTAATATTTGTAAATTCTTTTTCTTAATTTATTTTTTTCTATAATATTGAACGAACAATTCACAACCAATATGTAGCTTTGCCAAATTGATCATAAAACTGTCGTTCAATTTCCGCAAAATGAACAGCATTCCAGTAGACAGTATCCAGCAAATAAAAAAAACAAAAAAAAACAAAAAAGATTAAGTAAAAATTTACATAGTCCCAACCCCATTAACTAACCGTTGTCAGACGTCGCATGCATCATTTATTATTAAGCGTATCATCATAAAAAAGGCAAAAAGAGAAAAAAGCAAGCAGAAAAAAGTTGCACTTTTTTTAACTTTATTATTATTATCTGATCATCATCACCTTACTCATCAACACCGCACATAAGCATTATTGATTAACTGCTGGATGAACAACTAACCAAGCGCTATCCGGACACATATAGGTGCATAAATAATTGCATCATTTAAGCGAGAAGAGTGATAGCTAAAAGGCTATGTCAAAAAAAACAAAGCAAAAAATCAAAAACAAAACGAAAGACTTAAGTAACAAACTTCCTCCCCTTATAAACATTGTAAGCTCATCACATACAGCGATAACAATCGCATGATATATTAATCTCACTCTTATTAACAAGCATGTTACAAAAAAAAATTTATATTAAGAGTTATTAATAATTCCCTTTTTCTCCGAAGAATTTATATTGTTCAATAAGTTCAGATCACAGAAAAAAAAAAAAAAATGTTTAAAAATGCTCTGTTCTATAAATAAAATCTTATCGACAAACATTAATGCAAAATTTATGTTTTCATTTTTTATATTTAATATACATATAAAACACAAAGCGCAAAAAAAGCAAGAAAAGGTAAAAGGCTTCATCCGTTGATGTTTGTTAAGCTAACCAGATGTGTTTAACGTCCAAGTAAATGGTTGTGCGGAGCGACAAATGACGAAATACAAATGACATAAACTAATTATGTTAGCTGTTGCTTAAATTAACATTCCTCATAGCCAAATTCCTCCTCCAAGTGGGTTAATGTTTTTAAAATTAAATTTTAGTTAAATGAAAAGGAAAGAGTTAGGAAAGGCTCCTGCCTTTCAACCACAAATCAACGCTAGCATCTCTCACTTGATGCCATTTTTTATCAATTTTAAATATTGCACGTGAATAAGAAGGAACAATTTTTCTTGCGTTATTGTTGCTTGGAACAAAAAAATGTCTCATACATTTTTCAATCAATTGCATGCATAAATGATACTTAATTTGAATTTCTTTTCTTTCCAAATCTTAAGGGAAAAATAAATTAGAAAAACTAGTTTTTTTTGCTTACTTACCTTTCAGTGATGTGTAGCGGCAATAAGTACGATTGTCATTTTTTGTATTAGGTGTTATAAATTCAAGTCAATAGACACACATACATATGAAAAAACGAACACTGAACACGTTTGAGCCCACCGCCAAAGGACTGTTGACATTTTGTTACTTTGGATTACGATCGGAAGGAAAACATAACGGAAAGTTAATTTTATATATACTCGATCTTCACGAAATTTGAAATAATTTCAGCATGCCCGTCAACTTATCAGCCCCTGTGTTTGTGGAGTCTCTCTCATATTCTTTTTTCTCAAGATCAGACATTATTAATGAATGAATGCACAAATGCGGAAACACATAGCCATTTCCGTTTGTCCGTTCCCATGTTTTTTAACTTTAGCTCTAGAGAATTTAAGAAAACAAACTGAGACTTGCACTTACGATTTTAGTTTCAATGTATACAGTGAAGGCCTACAAATGCATTTATGCTCCTACGCTCTATTAATATCGTAAATTCGAGCGGACATTCCAGACAAAATTGGTAAAGTTGTATATTAGTGAGACTTTAGTGCGCTAATGGTTCTAATCGGGCTGTACATGTACCCAAAACAATTAAGCAAAAAATATTATTTGTAAGAGTGATACATCGAGGCGGTGAGTGCGCAAAATTCGCCCTAAAGCGAATATAATTGTTGTTTTATTTTCGATACACTTTTTAGAAATCTTTTCACACCATTTGATTGTGGACGAATACCAGCATATTATTAAAAGGAAAGATTCGCCACAAAGCCAATACGATTATAAATTAAATACTTATTATTTGCCCTACATTTGGGATCACTTTTCACTTATTTTGATTTGGGACTAATGTCAGGGTATCATTAGAAACACACTAACCGACCGTCTGTACGAGGTTCATGAGCGTTCATAACGCACCATAAACATAATTTTCCGTTTACTTTTTTTTTAAATTTTGGAATCATTTACGATTTTAACTATAGTCCAATGTTAGGATATGCTCACTACTTCTTACAGTATCTGAAATAGAGAAAACCAATTATTTAGAAATTTTTATAAAATGAAGAGGAATGCTTTCATGCTTTGTTAATACAATTAACTAAAATTTACAATTTTTCCAATTAGTTTGACAGACCAGAAGTGCTCTACAAAAGAAAAAAAAAAATTACTTAGCGTATAAGCTAATGCAATCAACTACTTATTTACTCATATTGCGCTTCACTTTAAAAAATTTTTAAACTTCAATTTTTCAACAAAATATATGTAGCTATAAGCGAATGCTAGAGCAATCCTTTAATCATCGTAGAACTTGCATCAGAAAACCTCGTCACATTTGGAAATATTTTTCACGCGATAATTTTTTTTGGAATATATTTCGATTCGGTTCTTCTTATATGCCACCTAATCATGGCTAGTAGAAAAGGTCTATTTTCAAATACTTGAAACATAGTATTTTTAAGAGATAAAAAATATGCTAACGACAAAAGCGATTTAAAAAAATTTGCTCTTGTTTTATGCAATTTCACTTATGAGTTTTGCGAGTTATTAAAGTTATTGCTTGCTTTTCGCAAACAATTGACTTGATTTTGTCTACGTTGATGGCGACGAGAGCGGGTTTTTAACATTTCCTGGAAGCTTTCCGTCACATAGCAGGTTTTTTTTTTAAATTTTTCACTAACTATTTTGGACGTCACGAGTGTGTTTGGAACCCCAAAATCTAAACCAAATATTTCTAAAATGCAAATTAGTCGAAGTAAACGTACTGTAGCTCATCCCTCATATAAAAGCAAAACCGTTTATAGAAGACGCTAGAAATGTTGGTGCAAGCATATTCAGAAATGAATTACTTTTGAAAGTAACCATTAAACTGGACTTATGAAAATAATTCAGGTACTTCGTGGTTTGAATATAAACCAATTTTTTTGTGCTTAAATTAATTTCATATTAACGGCTCAACGTTTAAACGATTTTCGGCGATACTTTTCCGCTTCTATCCGGACAGCATACGTTCATGCGAAAATATTTACATTTATTTGCATGTCTATTAGCTTTTGAATAGAGAATAGTTTCCCGATACTTGTTTGACAACATGTAGTTATGTGAAAATAATTACAGTTAGCAGGCTTTTCATTATTGACTTTGTTCGTAGTTAGCCTTTAAATGGATAATAGGGTATCGATACTTTTCTGGCAGATTATGATGTATGTGAAAATATTAATATTAGTTTGGGGAAAAAGAAATCCATTATTTTTTCGGTAGATGGCTGCACTGATAGATTTCTCGTAAAGTATCGATCAAACAATTTCTGATTTATGCTCGTTGGAAAGGTGAATTGGCCAACAGGAGAGGTGTCGTGTTCCATCAGGACAACGCTAGGCCACACACATCTACAGTGACTCGGCAGAAACTTCGGGAGCTTGGTTGGGAAATTTTAATGCATCCGCCATACAGTCCGGACTACCATCTTTTTCTTGCATTGCAAAATTTCTTTAATGATAAAAAATTGGAATGTAGGGAGGATTGTGAAAATCGACTACTAGAGTTTTTTGCAAATAGCGACCAGGACTTCTATAAGAGAGGCATTTTGAAGTTACCTTTAAAATGGCAACAAATCGTACAACAAAACGGTGCATATATGACCCAAATCGGACAATCCGAAGCATGTTAAATAAAGTCCTGAAGTTCATATAAAAATAATGGATTTCTTTTTCTCCAAACTAATATTTAACTGACGTTTTGCTAGCGGCTTCTGTGTAAGCACTTCTACATATAACATAAAAATATGAATTCCCGGCACTTTTTTGACACTATGTTCGTTTACATACGTAATCATTTGCATTTGAATTGACTTCAAATATTAATTACTGTGTTCGCAATTACCATTAAAAAATTATAAAAATGTTTGCATACCTTAAGAATGCCGTTTTGTAGTAAACAAACATGATTTTAATCGCTTTGCATAACGTATTATGTTCAGGTCGTAAAAACGGCAGAGAGAGAACGTAACTAAGCGGTAAGTAGTTGCATTTTATTATTAGTCATTAAATATTTATCGCAGTATCTATCCAAAGCATTACCATATAATGAATTCCTTTGCTATTAAGGAAAGTATATGTAAATGCGTTAATGGTGATCGTCGTTAATTTTGATGACTATGTTTTAAGTTTGCTTTTAGTAATAACTGAAGAATTTTCCTGGCGGGATATTCAAGTGAATTAATTCTATATTCTCTGGAGAACTGCTTGCAACTACGATAGGGGATAAAAATAAATAAAAAAATTATATTGACATTGATGTTATTTCTTCTTTATTAGCATCGTTTCAATTATTGTGTACCTTTATAACTATACTTTAGCCGTTTACAACATTAATACTAAACGTTTACTTAATTGGTTTCCATTGCTCTCTTTCAGCGACTGGTATTACAGAACAAGAAAAGCAAATTATATTGCAGGAGCATAACAGACTAAGGCAGCAGGTGGCCACTGGTCGTTATCCTGGACAACCAGGAGCAGAGAATATGCGTGAAATTGTTTGGGATAATGAATTAGCTGAACGTGCACAAAAATGGGCGGAGAATTGTCAATTCCGTCACGATCCCCATAGGACTCTAAGTAAGTTGACGCGTTTCTTTTGTTTTTGTTAAACGTTCTTTTTTTAATGAAAAAACCTTTAATGTTACTTTTAAAAGATCGTTTTACGATGGGTCAAAATTTGGCTATAATATGGAGTACAGCTCCTTTAGATCCTAACGATGGCGATTTTCCTTCACGTATACAAAATTGGTTCAATGAAGTGCAAAAGTATTCGTATGGCGATGCTTGGTCACCAAAAACTGGTCATTATTCGCAGGTAAAAAACTTTTTTAATTTTGTCATTTTATAAATTACTTAACTTAATTACTTAATTAATAATAAACTATTGCTTATTCGGTTTTAGTTGGTTTGGGGTGAAACTAATTTAATCGGTTGCGGTTTCGCTGAATACAAAGATGCCTCCAAGTACAATAAGTTATATGTTTGCAATTATGGACCAGGGTAAGTTAAAAATGCATCATAAATGAACTTTTTCCTTAGCTTACGTTTAATTACTTTCCGTTTTAGTGGTAATGTTGTCGGCTACAATCCGTATCAAGTTGGCAGACCTTCTTGTTCTGTCTATGGGCTTAAGCAATCAACACGTTATCAAGGACTTTGTGCAGATGATAATCTACCAGCGTATGATGATAATGTTATTGAAACGTATGATTACAAGACCACTAATCCATTTAACATACCCAACCTAACAAAGACAACAACATTTATTGCCCCTAATACTAATACATTTTATCAGACTTTTTCAAGTTTAATCAATAATAATAATAATAATAATAATAATCATCCGCAAAATGCCTTATCCTCTCCTTACAATCGGCAGGCGGCGTCCGTCTCCTCATCATCCTTTTACAAATCCCCAGCTTTATCTTCATTATCATCACAATTCCAACCATCATCATCATCGTCAATCTCAACATCATACCACCACCAACAGCATAGTACAAAACAAAAAATCCAAAGGACAACTACATCGAAAAAAAGTAACGGCCAGTACTCATTCAGCACCCAGACCAAAACTAATATACAAACCGGGTATAACAGCAGCAACAACAACAACAACAACGACAACAACAACGGTAAATACCGGTATAAATACGAAAATTATAAGCAATCGGGCGCAGCAGAAGAATATCAGAAATCAGTTTTCAAGCCCACCTCACTACTCGCACCGTCTACAGCAGTAGAGCAAAAGCGGCCCACATATCAGCAAACTACAAAAAGTCCCACTAAATCGGGCTGGAGTTTATATAACTGGACCGGTTAGAATATCTCCAATGATTTTTTTTTTTTTTTACTTATTTTAAGAATTCATAAAATTTAATTTTTTTTAATTTTTTTTTTTTTTATACTTTTTGCGCACTAACTTACTACTGTGTAGTATTGATTGAGATCTTTTTAAACCTATGGAAATTATTATAATTCTTTTCCCCTTAAAATTTTCGTTAAATTACATTCTTATTTATAAGTTTTAATTAAAATTGAACATTTTATACGCATTACCACATAGAGTAGAAGGTGTATATGTTCGCCATTATAAGGTTTTTGTTAAGTTATCTTTAAAAAAGCTTCTTATATAAGTAAGCTGCTTGCTTCTATTACTTCTTTCATTTTAAAAACAAAAATTTTTCTTTTCTTGATTGAAATATTTTTTAAATAGTTTTTCATAAGGGTTCATTGTTAGTTTCTTAGCGCTCATAAACAATGACATTCTCTTGAATGAAATTTTCATTGAAAACAAAATTATAAATTCTCTAAAATGCCTTTGTTAACTACTGCCAGCTGAGCTTTCATTTTTTTTCTTTCAATGCAAAGATTTGAAAATTTTTTAACCATTAGAAAACGAATGTTTGCATCAAATGCTTCGTGTATCTTATGGAAGATTAAAATTTCACTCCATGTCTTCTTCAGATTTGATTTTAAGAAAAGAGAGAAACATTATTTCGATTTTATTAATATTTTTGCTAACTTTTTTGTTCGGTACTTTTTTTAATGCATTTTTATGTAAATTTGTGTTTCACTTGCATTTAATAAAAATGAAAACAAAACACTTATGCCATATATGAAATAGTTTTGCAAATTTTTCCATATTCATATCGTACATTACTAGTCGAATCGGGTGTATCAAGTTTGTGCGGACATACGTAACACCGAGAAGGACTTAAGATAGACATGGCTTTAATTATACAAAAACGGATCAGAATCATTTTATAAATCGATATAAGCTTGTCTGTCCAGCTGTTCGTCCGAAGTCTGTTCATATGTTTCTGCGAGCAATATTTTGATGAAATAAAATGAGTCTTTGACTCATCGACAAGGGATGTTGAAAATAGTTCGGATCGACTCACTTTTGACAATGCCTTATATTGACATGTCATTATGTGAAAAACAATAGCATTTTTCGAATTTTTTTTACAACACTCACTGAGTAACTAACTGTACTTCGACATTCTAAATTGGTACGAAAGTTTTAAATATTGAATCTTTAAAATTGTTAAGTCTGCGATGTTGCTTAGAATACATTTCTAAATATCTCCTGCAGCAGTTAGATTTTCACCTTCAATTAAGCGGAACTGCAGTAAGACTTTATCTTCAGTTATAGTCTTTTATTATTAAATGTTTGCAATGATAGTACTTTCAACCAAAAGTTGACAGAGAGGTAGACGAACAGGCAATGATAAACTATCGTAAAATATTATATAGAGATAAAATTTAAGGGATTGAGATGAACGCCATGAAATATTTTGTACGTCCTACACGAGTGGACAGGCCAGCAGATCGATTTACGGTTTTATTATTGTATTATTAACACATCGATCAATAATTCCTAGATATAATACGTAGACGTCGTCACTGACACAAAACGGCTATAATGGCGAAATAGTATAGACTGAATTTGAAACTTCAGCACTACCCACCATATTTTGTGTCGTCTGTTACATGTTTTCAAATCTCAAAAAGATAGTTCAGTGAAAAGAATGTTGCTCAAAGGAGGCAGTCATGGTTGAACCTTGTGTGTCTTCCCAAATCACACTATGAGAAAAGTGTTAGACTGGCTTCATAATTTTTGGAGAAGAATATGTTTATGGATAACATTGACTTTTGCAAATAGGAAAAAAAAGAATATTAATAGAAGTATTATGAGAGCATATGAAGTCCCAAACATTTGCAGTTTTCTGGGTCAAATTCTGAAAAATTTTTATTTTATTTCTCAAAAACCTAAACTAAGCCCAACTGCGTCGAGAATTTTCATTTCTATTATGGGAAGAAATATAAGTGTTTTCCTATTATTGGAAAGAGTGCAAAAGATATTTTATTTTAAGTAGAGCTGATCTTTTGAATTTACAAACGAACGAACTTTTTAATCATTCGGACAGACAATAAGTCAACGATTGAAACGAATGTTAAGCAGAAGATGTAATGTCTGGCGAATGTAACGGACAGAGCGACAGATTTCACTCTAGTGCTGCTAATGGTCCCTGAGCGGGCTTTGCCGTAAGGTTCGTAGTTTAGCACGTTGAAAGATCGTGATGACATGGCTTATGGAATATCGCACCAGTTTTTCGAATCAAGAGCGTCAGCTGGCTTTGCTAACTTTTACCAGCATTGCTTTCGTTGGTAAAATACTTCGCAAAGCTAACCGCTCCTCCCTTCCTTCTCCCCACCGAAGGGCCAACTGTGAATAGGTATTCAATTTAATTGGTGATGTGAATGTTTTGCTAACTCTGGCGCTTGGCTATTGAAAGGGATCCTATGCTTAGCAACTGCGACGATCCATCAACACTATCCCCCAAATTAAGCAAGAAAAGTTCAATGTTCATCGATTTCATTTTTGATTTGAAGCTTTATGAAAACTTGAATCTATCGGATTTCAGATATCTAACTTAATTCGTGCGCCTATGAATGCCAAAACTTAAACTGCAAGTCTCTTTATTCATCCATAGATTGAACTCTATACAAAAATGGAAAATAATGAAATTTTTTTTTGTAAATCCCAAGCAGATAAAATAAATATTATCAATATGGGCCCCTACACTTCAGCTCACGACAACCATGTATACTTTAAGGATACATTGACAAATTGTTTCCATTCAAAATTGCCTTTAGTAATGTTTAAGCGTTACAAACATTTAACAACAAATAACAACAACGACTCGTCTTATAGGTCGAACATAATCTTTAAATATCATTTAAGTACAAGGAGCTGCTCACAAAGTAATAATTTCTACATGAGCACTGTTCTTTACGTATACATAAATTTCCTGAATATTCATAAAAAGGATTTAGAAAGTGCTTAAGCTTTTTTCTAATTTGCCTTCTTTTTCTGAGTGCGTATATCGGTTTTTACGTTTATCGATATGTTCGAGTAAAAGCCATTCAGATATTCTTCTTTCACTTATACTTTATATTACACCACTTGTATTGTTGCACTACTACTGCAGAAAAGAAGAAACAGAAACAAAAAACGGGTCAAGTTATTGGAAACTAAAGCAGAAAGAAATAAAACGAACATATTTCTGGTGTTGCAAAAAAAAGGTGATAGGGAAACATTTAACACAGAACGTTTTTTTGTGTTTGGTAAGTACTTCGTTGAAATATATGTTATAACGACATGCTGCATGCTCTCTAAAATGTGGCGTGTGGTAAAAAATATCTACCAATATAAACACCGTATATAAATTCATTTTGTTTGTGGTATAAAATATTTTAAAAACCAGTAAAATTTATAACAGAGAAAATTACGAGAAATCCTCACCGTATGTATATTTTTAGTAGGCCTCTATTTGCCATTAAATACACCATGCTACCGTTATTCTATGGAAAATAAAGCGAGAAAACAGGACGGACAGACGGACGGACAAGCTGCAATCGGTCCGAAAAGCGATTCTGCATCGATATGTACAATAAGACGTGGCTACGAAAAGCAAAAGGAAACCTGTGGCCTGCAAAGAAAAGCAATGCCAGCTGCTCTCATGAATACTCATAATGAAATGTTACCGAGACAAAAGAAAAAAGGAAGGTACGGGCAGATTATATTCGTCAATTATTTGCAGACAATATGAGTTCTGTAGGCTTTCCAAATGATGATCAACAGTATAGAATGATATCCCTCATGAATTATAATCTGGAAATATTCCTAGGAATAATTCAGCAAAGGTTCTATGGTAAATGCGAATCATCACTTGGCCGTAATCAGTTTGGTTTCCGGAAAGGCATGGGCACCAGAGAAACTTTATTCTGCATTCAGGTTCTTGTCCAGAACTGGAGAGTTGTGCATAAAGGCATTTTTCTTCGTTTCATAAATTATGAGAAAGCGTTTGACAAAGAACAGCCTGACAGATTGACAGACTTCCTGAAACGTCTTAGTGTTGACGGGAAGGATATAAGCTGCTTTAAAAATTTGTATAACGTCAGGCTTTATTATATTCCTATAACGTCTACTCTGGAGTAATCTTTCAAGAAGCTGTTCAAACGATCGAAGACATTAAAGTTAATGACAAATAAGTCGAGCGAAAACCCCTTATACAAGTTTCACTCTCTCAATTAATAATCAAAAAATGGAACGGGTTTCCAAGTTTGTATACCCTGAATCCATATTACACGAAGACGGTGGCAGCGACTTGGAAATAAAAAGAAGAACAGAAATGTCTAGATCAGCGTACCCGAAATGTCAGAAAATTCTGGCCCGCCGAGAAATGAGCTTATTCCTTCGCCTTCATGAAATGCTTTGTATGGTCGGAGCTCTTGTCCAAAATTAAAAGTCAGTACAAAGAAGAAATCTTAAGAAGAATAAACGCTGAGCGTGAACTACTTAAGTATATTAAACAATGAAAAACTATTTGTATTTTGGATACGTGGTACCTGAAGAAGAATAGGAATTCCCGCATTAAATAGTGGAAGGACGTACCGAAGGGCGTAGAAGCTTGGGGAGAAAACAAATCTCGTCGCCGCGTAATATTCGAAATTCGAGAGGGCTCAGAACAATCGGTGAAGTGAGACACACAGCAAGGAGCCGAGAAGACTTTTGCGCTCTACCTAATAGTACAACTTGTGATCGCCGGTATTCAATAATGAATAAGTGTTAGAAGAAGCAGAAGAAAAACAAATCTTACTCTCTCCTTATTATTCTATCATAAAATGAATTTTAATCTTTTATTGCAGCCATCGAGACGATACGAGACAACATAAAATCTAGTACTATTCTAAGAATCAACCAATCGAAATAAGAAAGTGCTTGTCACCTGCTTTGCTACTGGTGATCGAAGGGTGTACTAGGCGATT